TTTCCATCTGCAGCAGTTGAGGATAGTACTTGGCACTTTTTTTGGTACAACACAGGCCCCTAGGAACGCTGCTCAGCCTTGCCTCCAGTTTTTCCCAGTGGTCACTCACAGTATTGCAACGAAAAATTCCCAAAATGCATTTTCCCTTTAGACCATCATTGTAAAATACGTCTCTAAAACAGGACACCTTGAACTGCAAACAAGGTCAATTATGACTCTTTCTGTTGTGAATTTTTGGAGGTTTTATATTTGTAAAACTTTCCTTGTGCTGAGAAAACTGCTTTAAAAATCTGAGATGTCATTACAATGTTAAGTCTATATACCAAGTGGGAACTGGTGGTTGGACCTGGTGTCATCCGGGATATGATGTCTGTGTTTTCTGCTGCAGGGGAGTCTTCATCAGCTGATCCAGGATCAGAGTCCAGTCTGTCTCAGAGCAGCAAGATGGAGGTTTCTCTGACTCTCACCAACAAGTTTGACATCTTCAACGAGTCCAACGACAGACCAGACGCCAGAGGACTGCTGCTCAGGTAGATTAGCATGTTAGCCTGTTAGCTTCACCTGTTGTATGTTAAGACAACAGATGGATGTGCAGCACTGAGCGTGCTCAGATGCTCCAACTCCTAAAACATGGTCACACTAAGTAACGTTTTAGTTTATTGGGGTCATTTTTATGCCTCTGTGCAACTGTGGCCAGAGGCATTATGTTTTGGTTTTTCTGTACGTACTTATGTCCCTCTCATTCTTGTGAACACCATATCTTACGATGGCCTTGAGGGAATTTCCTCAAATTTATATTTGTGTATATTTGAAGCATTATCACGCGTCATGGCTTCATATGAGTCTGGACAGACATGGATGAAAACTGTAACTGTTAACTGTAACTAGTTCTTGGAGGCGTACAACTGCAAGGCGGTGATTCTAGTTCTGTCATTTTTCTTCAGCACGAAGCAGCTGATCATTGACGTTATCAGGACTCAGTCAGGTGACTCTCTGAGTGACATCCTGAGAGGATCTGTGTCACATGACCAGGTACAAACACACACACACACACACACACACACATATCCACACAGGTTCCAGGTACACGTGAGCCACAGCTAAACTTCAGTCTTCTTCTCCTCCACAGAAAGCATGTCATGATTGGCTGATGCAGCGGCGCGCTCAGCAGGACGCTCGCACACCTGAGAAGATGAAAAGGAATGAGTCGCTGGTCGCCAACGGCAACCTAAGTTTAGAGGAGAAAAAGAGGAAGATTCTGAGGTGTCTACGTCGACTGGAGGGACTCGGAGTCCTGAGACCACCTCAGACCGAAAACCAGATCCTGCAGATGATCGCAAAGGTGAGCTATCACACACACACACACACACACACACACACACACACACACTAGCTTAGAGATACACACGTGTTCATGGAGCTTTTAGCCGTTGTCTTCATGACCTGAACTTCCTGTCGTTCACCATTTAAAGGTACAGTCACTTTATGTATTTGTCCAGCGAAACTCCTGATTGGATACTCACTCATGAATCCTGTTGTTTTATTGGTTGTTGTCCACCTGTTGACTTGTATTAAATCAGGAGGAAGCTGATGTTTCATCTGGTCGGCTTTATTAGAAAGGAAAATATAAAATAGACACATTTTTTGATCAATTTAATGTATAATTGAATTTTAAGTTGTTTGAAAGATAAAAACAGATTAATTTATAAATATTAAATAATAATCTGTGAAGCTTGTCGACTGTGTGTGAAGCTTTGTGGCAGCAGGATGGTGCTCTGGAGCTGAACACTGCTCCACCTCTCTGATACATCAATACTTTATTGCTTTAACGTGATAATTAATAATGCTGTTCTGTTAATATAATGTTGTCCCCCCCCAGGATATCCGTCAGCAGCGTCTGCACCGTCAGCGTCGGGGGGCGGAGCTGCAGAAGCTCCGTCAGACTCTGGACAGTCTGCAGGTAAAGAGCAGATTCCACAGTGAACAAGTGGACTACTACAGACATTACATCACTTCCTGTCTGGACAACCTGACTGCCAACAGGTAGGTTCATTTGTTTTATTTAGATTTTTATATTGTTATTATGATGATGAAGGTTCCTGTTGAATCTCACTGCATTGAAAAATGACAGTTATGGCATCACATCATTATTGGATTTCTTAAATTCTCAGTGTCAATATCAGTAACAACCTTCTGTATCTGTAATATTTGGATCCTTATATATGGAATCAAATTAATTTGGGATATCATTGGCGATACCCAGCCCTGCCTCTGATTGGCTGTTTTAGCTGCCATTAGATTGAAGTGTGAACCACTTCTCACACACACAAACAAACAAAGGCTAAATGTTGTGATTCGTTATGTGTTGTAGTAAACCGTCCAATAAGAAGACAGCAGAGAGCAAAGGGAAGAAGAAGCTTCCTACTCTGAGCTACAGCGCCTCCCGACTACACGAGAAAGGAGTTCTGTTGGAGATCGAAGACCTGCCAGCAACACAGTGAGAACACAGACACAGCTGAGACAGAGAGTTATTTATTGTTGTCATTTATTATCTTACTGTAAACAACATGTAGCATGTCTGCACGATCTGACACCATTTAACTACAAAAACTTTTAGCACCACGTTTGTTAATATTACAAACTTTTACCATCACGTTAATGTCATTGACTTTATCGTCTCATATATTAATGTTATGTTAATGTTTTAAACGTTTAACACCACAAGTTAGAGTAATTAACTTCTAACAGCAGATTTGTTCATTTTATTAACTTTTAATACAACATGTTAATATTATAAAATTAACCATCACGTTAATGTTACTAATTTGATCGTCACATCTATTTAGAAACTTGTAACACCACAAGTGAATGTAATAACTGTTAACTCCATGTGTGTTAAAGGGATAGTGCACCCAAAAATGAAAATTCAGCCATTATCTACTCACCCATGTGCCGATGGAGGCCCTGGTGAAGTTTTAGAGTCCTCACATCCCTTGCAGAGATCAGCGGGGGGAGCGACCAGCACATCTAATGGCAGACGGTGCCCCAGACTAACGTCCAAGAACACAAAATTGGATGCACGGTCTCTGAAGACCAGCAGTCTCGTCAGTAATGATGTCACCAATTCCCAGTCTGAGCAGCAAAGACTTTCCTCATCCGTTGGCATTGCTTTACATTTGAAACATCTACACCACCAGGTTTCCAGTGCTCGACTCCGGTATTCTGCGGCTGGCTGAGGCTCATGAGCTGCGGCGGCTGCTTCGTCCAGTAGCCTGAGTTCCGTCCGTATACTCGGGCTCAAACAAATACGGCTCAACAAAGAAATGCTGTTCCTCCTCAATTTCAAAGTCTTCAGACATGTTGGGCTGTCCTTTGCTAAAAGACCGTAGTGCAAATTATCTTTTAGCTCTGTGGTTACCGTTGTCTCCCCGTGCGGTGCACGTGTCACGTGATGTAAACACGGGTGAGCTCCGCAAGGGATGTGAGGACTCTAAAACTTCACCAGGGCCTCCATCGGCATATGGGTGAGTAGATAATGGCTGAATTTTCATTTTTGGGTGCACTTTCCCTTTAATGTAACAAACGTTTAATACAACACATGTTAATGTTACTATCTTTTGACATTACATATGTCAATGATATCAATCTTTAACACCACTTGTTAATGTGAGAAACTTAAAACATTGCATATGTTAATACTTATTTAGACTCTAAGACTTTATTAGACTTTAAATACAAGATATGGTAATACAACATGTTAGTGCCACAAACTTAAAAAACAACATATTTTATGTTGTTAATTTTCTATAACATTTACATTAATGTTAGAAACCTTTAATGTCACATATATTCATGTTGTGATGTGTCATCACGCTGCCGGTCATGGTTTACTGTTGCTTGATCCTCTCAGAGGAAGTGAAATGAACCGAGCTGAACTGTTCCAGGTTTAAGAACGTGGTGTTTGACATCGTTCCTGCACCTGAGAAAGGAACTTTCAGTGTCAAAGCTCGATTCCTCGGCGTTGAGATGGAAGAATTCCTCCTCAAATACCAGGTACGAAGCAGACTAAACAATGAGTTAAAACAGGCTAAATACTTGGACATATACCAGGTGTGTGTTATGTGTCTATAATGTGTGTGTGTGTGTGTGTGTGTGTGTGTGTGTGTGTGTGTGTTATAGGACCTGCTGCAGCTGCAGTACGAAGGTGTGGCGGTGATGAAGATGTTCGACAAAGCGAAGGTCAACGTCAACCTGCTCATCTTCCTCCTCAACAAGAAGTTCTTCAAGAAATGAACCAAGTGATGCTCTCACATTACACTCCTATCTCCTCATATATATCTCACTACATCATGTTTACATATATACCTACATACAACAGAGGGAATCATCCTCTTTACACTGTTTATACACAGAGTGAGGCATCTCGTTTTTTTATATATCATTACCTATCAATCAAATAAGCTTTATTCATATGTTATTGCATCATTACATTTTAAGACAGGGTTAGGGCTGATCTGTTTCCTATACACTCCAAATTCTGTGTTTATATCTCACTACAACATCTGTGTCTGTGTCCCACTTTATGGTCCAGAGTGATGCATCTTCACTGTACTTCCGTCTTTGTATCTCACTCTAAAAGCATCGCTCTGACCCACCTGTCGTCTGTTTTTTAAACTCACCAGAATCTAAACAGAGTGGGTCATCTTCCCAACAGTCCAATCTCCTATCAGTTTTTATAAGTTACTACATTATCTGTTTTTATATCTGCCTCAGTAAACGGAGCGAGGCCTCCTGCTCAGTCCTGCCTCTTTATCTCACTCCTGTGTTTATATGTGACGACAGTTCATACAAAGCAGTGCGTCCTCCCTCTGCTCCTATCTCTGTTTCCATGTCTGACGACAGACGGGATGACGATGGGGGATTTTGTTGTTAATAAATACAAACACAAGAAGCCATATTAAACAGACACAGAGACACACACAAAAAACACTAGCAAGGAATTTTAAAATAACAATAATTTTAAAGGATTTTGTTTCTTTAAATCAGTGAACCGTTGCAAGTGTTGAGTATTGATCACATTAATTATGACACCAACAGGACTCCGTAGAGACTTCTGTCAGTCTGAGCAGATTTCATTGGTCACTGAAGTCTGCTTGTCGTTTTTAGTTGCAGCTCAAACATTAAAGTTTAAATCATTTTAGAAAATAAACTCTCCTGTCAGAGAGCTGCTCTGATACTTACCTGACTGATGACTGATCGATAACTGATCAATAACTGTAAATATTTTCTGTCAATTTCTGTTTGTTGTTTTTTCTGTCACTTTGTTTTCTCTTTGTTGACATTTGAAAGGAAACTTTTAAAAACAATATTTACTTTATTAAATATCTGAATGTCTTCAGCTGCTGTTGTTTCTGACTGGAATGGATGAGTTCACTGATTACTCATTGACAGGTTCATTGACTGATCGAATGGTTTAGATCAGTGACGGGATTCACTTTATAAAACACAGAATTTTGTCGGTGGGGTCAATTGGAGGAGGCGGGGTCAGGTGGAGGAGGCGGGGTCAGGTGGAGGAGGTGGTCAGATCATGTTGTACTCCAGTGGTCTCATCGTCTGTAAACAAAAACAGTATGTGAGCAGTTAACAAACACGCTCTTCTCCAGACTCAGTCACATGACCTCTCGCCTTGATGACACACCTCAAAGCTCCTCTCTGGAATGGTGGTTGGGGGCTGTGAGACAGGTGGGGGCTCGTACGTGGGCAGTGTCGACGTCTGTGTAGTAGCCTCATGTGATTGGTTGGTTATAACAGTCGGCTGCTAAAGAAGAGACAACAGTGCTATGATTAGTACTGACACACTAATCATATCGAGTCTGAACATTCACGAGTTATGCAGTGATGTTAATTATTGGAAAATTAAACAGACTGACTTTTCTGTGGCAGGAAACCTTTATATTCATCATCATTGAACACTGTGAATAAACAAGGGCTGCCCCCTGATAGACCAGAAAGGTCATTAGTCAGCAAGATTTCACTGATCGCTTAGTCGCAGGAAACAAAACAAACAAATGTGAAACTCTATCAGGAGCTGCACCATGTCAAAATAAATCCAAACCTATATGACTGGACCACATGGGAATTTAATTTGAAAGGGCAGACACAGGAAGTGTCCACGCTCAGCAGTCAGACAGGAGTCAGGTTAATTTCCAGGGCTGGTACCTGCGGTTATTCCACAGGCTAGTTAATAACATGTCTGGCAGGAAATCCAAAGTGTGGGATCATTTTGAGAAGGTGTAGGACGAACCCAAGGTGATATGTAAACTCATCTTCATTGGTCGACTATAAACATGATGTATCATGTGAAACATGGAAGTAGCTACATGCCCATTAGCCCACAGCGTCATTAACAGGCTGCTCGCTCAGTGTGTGACGTGCACTTGTAGATAAAATATAGGCCTTTATTAATGAAGGTTCATTAGTACGGTTTGTATTTCTCTGTAATGTAGCACAGTGTTAACAATGTTACTGATACTATTCTTTCTCACACCTTCAACTCAAACCACCAAAATCAGTCTGTAATAATTTAACTTTCAGACATGCTTGTTGTTGTCATGGGTAACAGTATGATGTCAGTATGACACCCATCGGGTATCAGGATATGAATTTTTCATGTGATATTAAAAAATATACCGGTATTATTGTGAACAAGATGATATGGCACACCCCTAATGTTTGGATTTGAATACTTAAAAAAAAATATTTAAAAAAATATAACTGTTTTTTGAAATATTAATTATCATGGAAAAGGTCATGATTATTCATTATTTTTCTTCGACGGTAGCTTGGACAGGTGACATCATGATAGATACAGTCATGCAGTTATACTATCATGTGAGAGCTGCTTGAGTGGACTTCTGCTGGTTGAGACTTAATTTAATTATTAATTCAGTACACAGTATGTCTCCTGATTCAGTGGGTAGTAAATCAGTGATAACTGTGTTGTGACATCAGACTGGACTCACCTGATCCATGGACTGACGAGACGCATCACAGACAATCACAAGGACACAGATGGAGATGATGAACTCCAGGACGGAAACACCAGCCAAAACACCTGAAACTGCGGTGGTACGAATCTGGAGGGAAGAAAAACAGTGTAGTGCTGATGAACTAGCTCAGTCCTCCTCTGATAGTGTCTACTTTTATGAAGCAGAGCCTCATTGAGGCCTGTTCATGTGATGTCATCATCCATTTGTCTGCATGAAGGTCTGCACGTTGTGTTTGTTTAGTATTAAGTTCATGTGTTTTTTGGGGTGACCAGAGGAGACATGGCAGAGTAACATGTAATTTATAGTTCTGCGTTGAATCGACGCGTAGGTTACGGCGTAGGCTCCACGTCGATTTGGAGACTATGCCGTTACCTAACGTGCACCTCTCCAGAAAGCAGAGTACATATATACACACATATATACAGGGATCAAAATTAGCAGTCGCCAGAGGCGACTAATTTGAACCCTTTGGCCAGTAAATGAAGTCACCTAACCAGCCACTCTGGCAAGTGAAAAAAATAGGGCCAAACTACTGTTGTTGTTGTTGTTGTTGTTGTTGTTGTTGTTTCTCCTGCCCCTGGCTGTGTGTATGTGATGTCATTGGTTGAGCACCGGTGTCGTACAACAGATCTTCAAGCCCACAACATGCCGCAAAGTGGGAGCTAGAACGTGAGCTTGTAGTTGGAGATCCGCGGTCCGCCATTTCCACGCCCTAGAAAGGCTGATAAGATCCACCGGCACACTGCGTGTCTGTGCTCACTGGCTGCAACAGTTGGAAACACGGAGCGAGGGAATTTTAAGAGCCTACAATAAGAAAGAGGCCAGTTAACCAATGTAAGCGTTCCCTTTTGAGAATTGTAGAGTGTATTATATTAATAACACATTGAAAATATACCAAAATGCTATTTATGACTTTTGGCTAGTGAAAAAAATTTCTGGCCAGTAGATTTTTAAAGCTTACTAGCCACTTGGCTAGTAAGCCAAAAAGTTAAGTTTGAACCCTGTAAACATATATATATATATATAAAATCAATCACATTTTTCACGTCACTGTATCACCATTTAGACTAATCTGATGTTTGTAAAGTCTATAAACACAATGACTGAAGAAACATTACTATTTCTGTGTGCACCTTTTGCAATTAATAACATGGTTATCGTAGATCAGCTGGGCTAACTGTTAGCTGTTAGCCGTTAGCGGTGTCTGTAGTAACTCGGTAACTCAATAAACGGTCCGTCGAAAAAAATATTTTTTCCAGCAGATATCTTAGTTACAACATGATTGAGCTAGCAAAGCAATTTTGTGTTGCTATGTGTGGTGTTTATTCAGTTATGGGAAATCATGATGTCTAGAAAGCATCAGTGGCTGCAGCTGACAGGGACAGCTAACAGCAGCAGCAAAGCTAACATCAGGACGTCATCTGTTAAAAGCCTCCCGTTGTCCGATACGAATTTTGCTAAAACTGGTTAAAGGGGTCTCTTTACCTCTCACCTCAATATGTCTCAGTGAAAATGGGTTTCTAGGGTTCTTACAATAGAAAATCTCTCCTCACTCTCTCAAAAGACCATTATTGTTGTACTAAACCATCTAGTACAAAGTAGCCTGCCATAAAAAAAAAAAAACACACCTCACTGTACAGGATTATGTACAGCCTACTATAAAGTAGCTATGAGCTAGAGTGGTCCAAACTGATGCTAAAATGCATATATTTTTTTAGTCAAATAATGTGAACATTTTCTGCAGCTGGGCTAAACTTTCCTCCTCCTTTTCAAATTCTGGACCTCACCAATTTACAAACCCTGGCTACGGCCCTGATTAAGCCATGTTTAATGTGTGTTTAATGTGTGTTTTGAATCAACTAAATTTAACAGCACTTCACAGAAACCTCTGCCGCCGACTAGTGTTTTGGAGGTGTAACTGCAGAGTGACACAGACGCACCACCGCACAAGTATAAATGCTCACAATGGCATAGACGACGTGCGTAGGCTACGTGCATAGGGTCTACGCACAAACATAAATCCCCTTTAGGACCCGTACACATGCAGCGTCTTTAACCGCCTGGAAAATACATGGTTGGATGCTGGGCGCTACTCTTGTGCCTTTTCTGTGCCAGCTTTCAAGAGAGCGGCAGCAGGTTGCTTCTGAGGTTGCTAAGCAACCTTAACAATCACTGTATCATAGCCTGTTTACCTGAAATCCTAAGCGCAGAGCTGGTCTTCCTCCAGGAGCTGTTTTTAAGTGTGTTGGCCTATCGTCTGTGGGACAGACTTAAAACTCTGGCAGTTCTGCACTAACATGATCAACTTCTCCATATTTATTTAAAGATATCTGTTGCTATGGTCGCAGTCATTGCACCCTGAAAAATGCGCGTCTGGGAACGTGTACCGGCCGTGATGCGTCACTGGCGTTTGAGTGTGTCTGCCGCGCCTCCACATTGAAAATAATTAATTTTTGGGCGCAAAAAATGCGGCATGTATACGGCCTCGTAGTTTCAAAACTAAAACTGTGCCAATATTGTACCATTTTGGATTTAATGCCAATGAAGGAGGTGTCCTACATAACCACAAGCGACGCAGTGCTGCTCTTTTAATCTTGTCCAACGCCATGTTTTTATGTATTCCTGTTGTTTACTTTGAAAGCGCCGCTATGGACGAGGAACGGCTGATTCATGAAGTTGAAATGAGGAGTTAACTTCACGACATCTCCTCATTTATCTACAATAACCAACATGAGGTGGCAGCTGGTGAGAGGCAGCTGAAAGTTGGAGAGGAAATTCAATGATCAGTCAAACATCTGAGGATGTCAATAAGTACAACATAAACCAAAATGTCTCACCCAATATATGTCACCATTGTAGTAGCTGTAATAACAATGATTAAAGCGGAGGTTCCAGATAACATCAAAAGCATCCAGAAAGTAGATGGCCGTAGCACCAGCTGAAGTAACAGCAGCAACAACACTGAAGCCCATAGCTCCTTTAACCTGCAGAGCAGAGACACGTCAGCGCACCTGGAACAACCTGCTGAAATCTGAAAATCATCTCAAGCTTAAAGGAAGCCATCTTGTTTTCTCCAGAGTCAGATTACAAAATAGATATCACTTTAATCTGAGCGTTCTTACTGGATAAATTAAACAAGATTTAATAAATGTCCGTCTTTACTGTCTCCCTAACCTCTATAAACAGATATCATATGTAGGAGAATCTTTAGTGCAAGATTTTGGTATCGGAAGTGGTCTGGTTTACGACCAGTCGAGTTTGAGCGGCAGTAGTCTGACTCACTGAATGTAAAATGTGGCTATAAGCCTGCCAGTGGGCCATTGATTTAGGTCAGCATTCGCCCTTCTTTCAGCTGTCTGTGTTTTACCGTTTCACCGTGTCTGGGAGATCTGCCTGATATATTCACCGGCGCTCTCAGAGGCTTTATCGTCATCAGACTGATAGCTGATGGGTTCTGAGATTGCTGTTGAACACCTGAGAGCTGCAGGAGTTTTGTAAAGTGATGTCACAGTTATGATGAGTTACTGACCGCACAGTTGTTGAACTTCTCAGCAGCCACTGTCAGAGATCCAGACAAGACGCTCTACAAGAGACCAGAAACAGACACACTGTCAGCTGACCTCAGGTGAGCTGAAGGTTTAATACAAAGATACAACAGCCCTCATTTATCATCTAACATACTAGTGCAGATCTGTGTGCAGAAATCATCTAAGGATAGGATTCACGTGAACATTTTTATCTCGCCAATCACAGTGTTGGACTGATCGGGCATTGATAAATGTGGCCACTGAAAATAATCATCTAAATGATGATATCCTGCCTTGATGTTCAACTTTTCACAGTGGAAACGGGGAAAAATGGAAACGACCATACACTCAATTTTTTGTTTTACGCTTGTTTCATTAATGAAGGCCACTGTGTTCTCTTTTTTGATTACACGTAGACAGCATCTTCTTGCTAATGTATAAATTAATCCTTTTATTGTTTAGAAAGTGCCTCAGCTGACTCACACACAGAGGTCCCCAGACAAAAACGCCGCTGACAATCCCCAGTGTATCTGTGCATGGAATCATGGTGAGCTCAAACAGAAAGACCATCAGGCCAGTCATGATCTGAGCCGTCTGCAGGGACGACAGACGGTGACATATCAGTCCTGCATTTCAGTTTTTAGTGTCAGCTGTGAAATTACGATCAGATTGTGTCACTCACCCCAAGTGCCACCACATGTCCCCGTCTGAGCTTGTTCCTTGCAGCGTTTTGTGCTGCAGCAACCTGCGGTGCCGGGATCACATGGGTGACCACCACCACGCTGCCCGCCGTCGTCACTACTGGTGAAGATGCCATGATGTTGGAGGTGAACTGAGAGTAGCTGCTATGAGCTGCTGCTTCATAACTGCTCAGTGTTAATCATTGATCAAGAGTCCCACTGGTTTCGATTGTCGGAGGGTCAGTGGATAAATGTTTATGTGCAGGATCAGGAAATACTGTCCAGAAAAATAAAGCTGGTTTTGATCTCTACCAGTCAGCTTCCTGAATACATTCTGCATTCTCTGGTTTGTCATTAAACAAATCTTATTAATTAACTTATTAACTTGTCTTGTACGGTTGTTGGCATGGCTTTTGTCACATTTTAAGTGTGGTGTGTACCTTCACAGGTCTGTCAATAGAAGTGAGGAAGTTTGAACAGATCTCTCTGATATAGAAACTTAAAATAAATGTCATACAGTTTCTAAAAACACAATGAGGATATCAGGAGCTGTTGTGGCTCATTGGTTGTCACAGTCTGACAGCAGGACCACATCATCTGCAAAGAGCAGAGAAACCTCCTGTGGTCACCATACGGACACTCCACATCTCGACCGCACCTTTAGATTCGCTTCATTAAAATCACAGACCATGACAGTAACAACTCTGGTGAAGTACAACACCCACTGAGAACATGTTTGACTTCCTGCTGATAATACAAACACAGCTTTCCCTCTGGTCACACAGTCAGTATGTTTACATGCACAGCTTAATCGAGCTATGCTCAAAATTCGATTTTGGCTTCTAATCGGACTTCTGTCCTTGTCCTAGTTTACATGCAACTGAGAAAATCGAATTACTGACTTGAACGTGTCCTCCTCCTCAACACTAGGTGGCGATATGCGTCGTTTCAGCGGGTTAATACGGCCCCCTTTCCGGTTGACCTATTACGTCACTTAATAATAAACAACTGGAGTCAGGCGGCAGACCGGCATTTTTGAACAACAGCAAGATGGATAATCATACAGCTTTGTTCATCTCGTACGTAATGTACGCGTCACTGATTGTGCAGATAAGGTGCACGCTATCCCTCGTGGTCATGGTGATTTCAAGAGGCAGACAAGAACGCCGTTTGCTGTTGGAGGGCTACAACAATAGCATGTCTTGTCTGTTCCGGGGTCATACGCCAGCGCGGGGGGTGTGGAGCATGCGCATATGCGTTGTCTGGTCTATCTCCGATTAAGGCGTATATATGCCGGAGAAAATCGAATTCCAATCACATTATCTGGGTGTCTTAATCAGAGTTGGAGAACTCCGATATCAGTCGGAGTAACACGTTTACATGCACTTCAGTTGTCCAGTTATAGTTGGGTTAAGGCAATAATTTGTTTTTTTCAAGTGTCATGTAAATGTACTGAATGAGTCATTGTGGTAGCCCTGGTACCCTATACTCTCTCAGTATCCCCCACCAGATACCCCAGTTGACATGGTTTTAAACCCTCTTCAGGTCCTCAAAACCCACATAGACTGGATGGACCAACTCTGGTGGCTTGTTTACTTTCCCCACATTGGTAAACAGCTGGTCTGCTGTTCCAGGAGCAGAAGGGAATCTGCTCCGAATGACGTGGGTATGGACGTTTTCAGTTGCAACTCCATCAACTTGAAATTTGTGTTACATTTATGCTCATCTGTATATTTGCATGTATGATGGTGCTTGTTGTGGTTGGCCTTGGACGATGGTGGCGTGTAGCTGCAAGTCACTCAGCCGGATGAGGAATTCAACTCATCACTCTGTAAACTCTCCTTCTGCTGATGTCTAGCGAGCTAGCTGATAGCTAGCCGGGTCGAGGTTTTCAAATGTAAACATCAAGGAAAAGACGGAGAAGAGTGGATGCCAGCTGAACTAACATCCTGCTGGCCCATTTGAAGGTGTTGGAAAATAAAACTGGACAACTTCTGTGACACATCAGTTTCCAATGGGATATCAGGAGCTGTAACATCCTTTGATTCACCAAAACTTGCCTAAATCCTGGACAGCGCTATTCAACCAGGTGACTCTGTTCCAATGTGCTGATCTGACAGAGCAGAGGACTCTGGTCAGAGAAGGAGAGGAGGAGACTGCCCTACGATGAATAAGACGTGTGTTGGTGGTAAAGTGAGGTGATGTTTGGTTTCTGCCATGGATCACTGCTATACTCCTTTCAGAGGCACCTGCAGAACAAAGCTGCCTGCATTTGTAAGGAGCGACCATGTGGCCGTCTTGTTGACGTCGAGATGTGTGGACAACTGTTCACAGTCATTCATTTCATCCACTCAGTTGCTTTGCCACTGCAAAGCTTTTAGACGAAATCAGGATCTTCTGCCAGAATAAAGGGAGTGGTCTTTTGTCCTCACGAGTCTACCACCACAGAAGGTCTGTCAGTTCCTCGGAGAGTTCCTTTCCACTGAGCAGTCAGGTACGGTTCATTTCTGTACCGTCCCCATGTTTGGTCCCCCCTCTGTTGGGGTACCTAGCACACAGATGTGGTACTAAAAGGTGGAGCTGTGAACACTGCAGTCTGATTGGTCAGTAGAGGACGGTCACTCTGCTCAGGGCTGAGTTGTGGCTGGTTTTGAGGCTCATGTAACCACTGTTCATACTGTGGAGAGTTTTATTAGTAAACTGTAACTATAAAATGAAAGGATGTTTCTGTCGGCGTGATGAGCAGATTCAGTGCAGCAGAGTTTGAACATGAAACACATGATTTTATTTCACAGTTGAATCAAAGCGAGAGAAGAAAAACATATTACATATTCAGTCATGAGTCATCGCCTCATCGAGACGTCTCAATCAGACTTTGTCAAACATTTAAGTCATTACAAGGTTTTGTCCAGGAAACTGTCTCAGAAATAAAAAATCTTACACTTGAATTGTTTGACAGTTGACAATGAGCTGATCTGAGCTGTGTCAACTGTCAAACAATTCAAGAGACTTTTCAGTAAACAAGGTTCAAACCTCCCTCTGAACATAAACAGTTTTCTCTCTGTTAGTATCTGAATGTGTTCAGTTGTTTCTGACTGAATGATGTCATGACGTGTGCTATAGAAGTAGATCACATCAATGTGAAGTAGTGAAGCTTTCTGAACTTTCTGTGAAGCTGCTGAAGTGTTTGAAACTGTACAAAGGTGACATCTGCTGGCCAAACATCAGCATTACATTTATGGAAGAATTCAACCCAAAACCTGATGAAACATAGGGTCACACCCTGAGTGCACTGTTGTCAGTAACTGCTATAGTATTAGAAATTAAAGTCAAGTCTAAGAACCTATGGTAATATAGTTTAACAGTTGTGGTGCTGGAGCTGGTGCTGGTGCTGCTGGAGGTGGTGGTGAAGGCAGGGGTGGTGGTGATGCTGGTAAAGCTGGAGGTGGTGCTGGAGATGGGGGTTGTTGTCGCCCTTCATGATGTTTCCAGTCACTCAGAAGGGTGTGGCCCTCGGTTTACGATGCTGCTGTATTCTGGAGGCTTCTGTAAAACAATAACAAAAACAGATTCAACAACAACAAATGCTGTCTAGGACTCGGTCACATGACCTCACACCTGCATAACAAACCTCATAGGGAGGGGGCGGGTCCATCGGAATAGGTGGCGTTTCTGCAGTCACTGAAGCAGTCCCAGTAAAACGGTTGGTGATGGTTAACGGCTGCAAAAGCAACAAATTTATTTAATGATGTAAAAAGTACATTCAGTCATAAAAAGCCCGCTTACATTATCAAGCCCACTGAAGGCATCAGATGGTACTCTTAAATTGTGCTCAGTTTACCGGTCTTGGCTCAATTTATACTTATACTATAAAGTTTGCACAGAGCTGCAGAGATGGTTTGTGGAGCTCGCAGAGAGATGTGCCGCGAACAGAAAAATGTGACTATGCACTGAGCAGTACAGACGCCACAGAAGTTTGAGCGCACATCAGGATTTCCAGACACATGCCTCACATCTGCTACAACAACAAACAGGACCAGTTTGAAGAAAGGCTAGCAGAGCAAGTTAGAAGATAATGTCACTTGTGCGATCCTGCTTCTAAAGATTATTAAATGAAAGTCCCAATTGACCCTTCACTAAGTCCTGCCCCTGAAAGCAGACTGGCCAGTCATAACATAGCATCAGGCTGGCTCAGACCAGGCTCCGACAACAACACAGCTTGTGCTCCATTGACTCCAATGCCATTGTTCCAGATTTCCTTCATTTTCAGGCTGGTTTTGTGGATTTGGAGCTAAATGTTGTGCCTGGGGCACGTCGTGTATTAATGATACTCGTTACCTGGAGAGGTTGGAAAAAGACATACCTTTCTTCCCTGTTCCAAAACCAAAATCAAACCCTGAAAAGTGTAGGGTTAGCTAGCTAGCTACTGAAGATAAAGCCTACTGAATGTACACACATGCTGCTTTTGCTTTTTAATGACTATAACAGTGAAACAACGACCGACCCTGCTGTACAGGAACCAGTGAAGGGAAGCAGGGAAACTTTGCTGATATTCAACCAGCTGTGTGTCATCACAGTGTGTGCAGATGAACGTTGTTTGACTTCCCTCAGAGACCCCTACCCGTCTGACGTTGGAGGTCCAGATGCTGGTAGAGACACGGGGGTGAAGCCAAACATGTTCATCAGCACACACTGTGATGCCACACAGCTGGTTCAATATCAGCAAAGTTTCCCTTTATATTCATTGTCTTGTGTGGTGATCAGCAGTGATGTGGTGGTTCACTTTTACACTGTGATCTGTAGCCTATAGTTCGGCTTTAGCTTCTAACTATCTTTGTCTTTTTAACCTGTTGTTGCTGCTGAGTCAGTTTGACATCCTGGATATATCCTTCAAACACAGACTGTAGACCCCTCTGTCTGCTTCTCTCTGGAATCACTGTCTCATTTTTCCAAAAATATGATAATATTTCTTCAGGGAGTGCAGTTAGTTACAGTGTGGACTCCATGCTTACTCTGACAGCTTGTTGGACCATCACAAAGGGGCGGGGCTAAGCAAAAGGTCAGTTTCTGGAAGGAGCTTGCCAAAGACCTGGAGAGTTGTGAGTGTACGTGAAAATTGAAGGTTCTGAGAGACACATTTTTATAAGTGAAGTTGTTTCATATACTACAAGTGTTGCTGGATTTTAAACCTCTTCAGACTTCTTTCTCCTCTCCATGTATCTTGGAAGTAGGTGAAGTTGTGCCACATCCCCCACCCTCATTCTTCCATTCATCAAGCATAGGGAAATGGTGGAGTTATAGTTGGGAGGAGTTGTGCAAATTTCAACAGCAAGTCCCAACATGCATGTGTTACAGCCACAGAAATACAAACAAAGCTTCAGTTTACTGGTCCTGTTTCGTCCTGTAACTGAGCAGGACCAGTACACTGATGTGTAAAATCAGTGTACTGGTCCTGCTCATCCTTGTGACTGTAAGCTCAGGCGGACTCACCCGAGCTGTGGAATGATGTTGACGTCTGCAGCTGTTCCCAGCAACACACATGGACAAGCAAAACTCACAGAAGGATAAAAAAGCTGAAACACCTGTAAACCACCTAAATCGACCCTGCAGGGAAAATAGAAACAGGTTTGTGACTGTTAAAATGTTATTGTTGCAGATCCTCTGAAGTCCTGAAAGGTTTTTTTACTATTTTATATTTATGCCATTTGATTGCACACAAAAGTTATTGATCTTGTTCATACAATATACTGTCTTGAATGCACAAGTTATTAAACTGTGTAAAGTATTATGTTAAGCCGTGTGTACGAGAAAATATGTAAATAGTACGTTACAGGGACAAGTTAACATGTTATGCAAACAAGTGAAAGGGGCTCTATGTAAAGTTCAGAGCATATGAGTTGTCTGGACATGGTTCTCAACATTATGGTGGCTGAGCCGGTAGCTAGCAGCTAATGCTGCTAACTCCATAAACAGCACTAAACAATGGCAACAGTGCTGACGGAGCTCATGGTGTTAAGCAAGGGGGAACTGTATGGTGGACGCTATGCTTCCATGACAAGGCCGTCCCCTTAGATTACAACACACAGAGAATGTGAGAGAGAATGTAATGTGACTTCGCTTTTTACTATCACTCTTTAGCTAGTTCCTCAACCTCTGCAGCTAGTCTCTCTTGCTCTGCAGCTAGTCCACAGCTTCTGCAGCTAGTCCTAGGCATCCAGCTCGTCTCTCTACCTTTGCAAGTAGTGCATCTACAGCTGCAGCAAGTCCCTCTTCCTCTGCAGCTGGTCTCGTCTCTTCTGCAGCTAGTTCCCAACCTCTGTAGCTAGTCCCCAACAACGTCTGTAGCTAGTCTGTCTACCTCTGAAGCTAATGCCCCTACCTCGGCAGCAAGTCCCTCTACCTCTGTAGCTAGTTCTTAATGTCTGCAATTAGTTCCTCTACATCTGCAGCTTGTCCCTCTTTCTCTGCAGCATTCCCAGACCTCTTCAGTTAGGCTCTCTAACTCTGTAACTGTAGTCCCTGATCTCTGCAGTTAGTCCCTCTACCTCTGCAGCTAGTCCCCAACAACCTCTGTAGCTCATCTGTCTACCTCTGAAGCTAGTGTCCCTACCTCGGCAGCAAGTCCCATTTCCTCTACAACTAGTCCCTCAACCTCTTCAGCTTGTCCCTCAAACTCTGTAGCTAGTCCCTGATCTCTGCGGCTAGTCTACACCACTCCTTTTCCTCATTAACTACACTGGTTCTCTTATACAGCTGGCATCCAGTACAAGACTGTGGTGCTGGTCTATGTAGAAAATGAAAGGAACTGCTCCCTCATACCACCAAACCATGGAAAAATCCTATATTCTCCCTCCGCCCCCAAATGACTGAATGTCCCATCCATCCTAGGACTCTGCGGTCCCTCTTTCTGGTCAAGACTCTCCTGTGTTCTGGACTCTCATTGGTGGAATAAGCTCCTGTCGTCCACCATTGACTGAAAAACACCTAGAGACACCTACTTCCTTAAAAAAAATCCTCAGCACTTAGCTCACTGATACTTTACACATGGTAAATTGTTTTTAATGACAACAATCTGTAAAATTAATCTAATATAACATCAGATCAAAACATTTTACCTCATCATGGTCAGGGAACCAGGGAAGATGGTCATTGTCATTTGTCTTCAAAATTTCGGTAGTATCCACAAAGAAGATGATGCCGACGGGAACTGAAGCCACAGCGGCAACAACATTGTAGCGCACAGCATATTTCATCTGCAGAGCAGAGACAACAAGTCAGCACACATGGAACACCTGCAACAACAGCTGTCATCTAAAAAATCATCTCCATATTACAAGACCACAACTTGTTTTCGACAGTCAAAAGAGAAGATCTTTGTGCTTTCTGTACAGATAAATTAAAGCCTGAGTTCAGGAGTAAACTTTTTTCTTACTGACACCTGTACCTGATGAACACCTGAGCTGCAGGTGTTTAATACAGTAATGTTATAATAATGATGAATTACTGACCCGAGATTGGCTCATTGACGTCCCAGCAGACACCGTCACAGATCCAGCAATGATGAACTGCAAGATTAAAGAATTTATATTAGTAAACAGAGACTTGAGACCTTTTTTTCTGACGTAGTCTTACTTTTATTAACATCTTCTGCCATTATTTCAGGGTATGTAAAATACAGATCTTTCAGTGCAAACAGCAAACTCACCAACAATGGTCCCCAGACGAACACACCACTGTCAACTGACAGTTTGTCTTCATTATTTGCCGCCATGATGCTTCCAAACACGATGATTATTATTCCGATAATGTTCTGCACCAGCTACAGACAGACAGACATATTCAGATCCTTTACTACAGTAATACACTATTTATACTTTCAGGAATCTGAAATTAAAGTGAGATTATGTACATGTTTACAGTGTGGATTAACTTTGTTGATCTCCACCAACCAATAAACTAATTGCATTTATAACATTATATAACAATATACAGGATATAACTTGAAAACAATGGTTAAATCACATTTTCTTTTGGCATTTTTCTCTGGAAATTCAGGTAAAATTTAGATGAAAACCAGACTTGTCTCTCACCCCAACCACCTGCGATTGTCCTCCGCTCAAGGAGTAGTTGTTTCCAGGGTTGAGACGTTGACCCGGAGCTGGAGAATGTCGAGGTAAAACAGGCTGGATAGTTCGGTGAACATGTGTGACGACCACCACGCTGTCCGCTGCCGTGGCTGTAGACGAAAATGCCGACATGTCTGAAGTGAGACGAGTGAAGCTGCTGTGTGATGGCTGAGCTCTGGGTTGATAAATAATCAGAGAATCACATCAACTGACTCAAATACACACAGTCACATGAAACAGTTAGATTACTATATGATCTTAATGTCTGCAATAAAAAAAAGGGCAGTTCATCTAAGAAAAAAAACACACCTTCTCTCTGTCCCCTACTAGTGTCAGTCCAGTCAGACACTTTGGTTTATCTATCTAAATAGCGGTCAACTGATTTATTCTCCACAATTCAATCGTTCACATCATTTTACTGAAACCATGAGCACCAAAGAAAAATTCATTCAAATTTACCAGCATGAGAGACAAAAAAGTGGTGACTCTTACTCTGAAGCTGTCATTAAGCCCAAATATTTATCCATTCCTCAATTACCCGGTAAGTTAGTCATATTCCTTTAGTCTGTAAGGGTCTTCAGATAAAAAGAAATGAAATTGGTTTCATAAAAATGAATCCAAGTTGTGAATATTTTCAACAGGAAGTGGTGTTGTGTAGGTGTGCCGGGTGCTGTAATCCTTGGGTGTCATAAAACAAGTGTCGTAACTCTCTCTGATGCGCTGTCTATCAGATCAAATGAATGATTAATAATTTATATATTATCTGAGGCCTAATTATTTTTTTTTAAAACAATATTCATACTGGTTTAAATGAACGATTTAATTGTATTTCCCATCAGTTTTCTGTAAAAGGAAAAGGTGCCTGTCCCAAATATACAGTGGCTGAGTTTAGTGAAGTTTTACGGTATATGAGCTGTTAATGTTTACTTCATCATTTTCCCACTCTGTAAAAGTCCTTTTCATTCATGTCTTACATCGCCACCTCATCTTCTGACTGAAGACTGGATGCAGCAGGTTCGAGTGCTTAACATGAAACAAATGATTTTATTCCACAGTTTGAGTTACAATCAGATTGAAAGAAGAAAAATAGATCACAGATTCATTAGAGACATTTCTATCTGCTAACAGGCTTACAAAAATACTTTAATTTAGTTTAAACTTCAAGTATCTACGTACAATAACAAGGTCCATCAACCAAACCAGTCTGATCCAGTTTAAACAGGTCCAATCTAGTTTTAAACCAGCCTGATCCAGTTTAACCAGCCCAATCTGATCGAATTTGATCCAGGTTAAACCAGTATGATCCAGTTTAAAACCAGTCTGATTCAGTTTAAACCAGTCTGATTCAGTGTAAACTAGTCTGATCCAGTTTGAACAGGTCCAATCTAGTTTTAAACCAGCCTGATCCAGTCTAATCAACCCTATCTGATTGAATTTAATCCAGGTTAAACCAGTCTGATCCAATTTAAAACCAGTGTGATTCAGTTTAAACCAGTCAAATCTGGTTTGATCCAGTTTGAACAAGTCCAATTTAGTTTAAAACCAGTCTGATCCAGTTTAAAACCAGTCTGATTCAGTTTAAACCAGTCTGATCTAGTTTAGACCCATCTGATCAAATTTTAACTGGTTCAGGTTGAATGAACTTGATCAGCCTGATTTCAACTGGTACAGACTGGTGTGAACTGGATCCACTTTGCATAATTGTGTTTTTATTTACTCTTCATATCGCAAAGGGCAAGTTTTTACATGAATCAACTTAATCTTCCTTCTGCTCAAAGTGTCAACAGGAAGCTTCGTTAAAACATTTTTGTCAAACTTTATCAACAATCAATCGATTCCGAGATACTCGTTTTAATTAAACTTTATAAAAACACATTTGTAAATCTTGATCTTCTCCAGAGTCACGAGTTTTGATCTCTGTGTATCTAGGACAGGTTTAGCCTAGCTTAGCACAAAGACTTGAAGGAGAGGGAAACCGTTATCCTAGTTTAGCAATTGCAGTACTAGCTTGAGAGACTTCATTTTGTTCTACAACATAAAATACATCAATTAATACCCAACTGAAGCCTTAAAGTGTCTTAAAAAAGACGGTTGCTGACAAGCTTTTAAATGAGACTACAGCATGTCATCTGCCTTGGTGTGGTGGTGACATTGAAGTCACGTGTGTGGTGTAGTTTGATTATACCCCAACGTTCGCTTTTTACTTCTGGTGATTGCATTTATGCTTAGAACATAAAATTGATGTTCATTTGTGAAGATTATCTTGGTGAGCAAAACATTTGCCACAGAGCTTATTTTCTGCAATACCAAATGAATTGTGCCAATTGGAAAAATCACATCACCTTTTGTTTGGGGAACCAGGGCAATAACTTCTGTGTTGGCTTACAAAAAATGTCATCCCTGCAGCACTCTATCGAGTATGAGTGAACAATCCTGATAACTAAATGTCGGACAGAGTAATCAGAACAGCGTAGAGGAAATAGAGCTCAGAGATGTTTTGACTGAATAATGCTAGCATAGTTCACCAGTTTACCAACTAGCCCTATGAGTCATCACTACTTAACCAAGACTCTCACAACAAATATTTTATAAAGACAGATTAATTTTGCTTTGACACCCAAAACCTTTAAACTTCTTTGTGCTAAGCTAGGCTAACCCAGTCTTGGACGCAGAATTTTCTTTTCCTAGAACGGCGAAGACACGACCCACCCTATTGCCCTTCTGGTTGGCCAGTGCTCGTTGCTTTCATTGGTTGTGTTGATTAGGTTTGGGCAAGAGGAGGAAGATTGGTTAGGGTTCTGGTAAGGATGTCAGGGTAAGCCAATCAGAGGCAGAGTAAGGCAGAGTAGGGCGGGTCATCCCCCTAAAAAAAACAAACAAACCTGGAGGTGAAACTGAGTTCTACCTTCTGACTCTGGAGAGGATAGAGAAAATGTGGAACTGTTCTCTTAATTGTCCTTCGGCGCCCTCTTGAGTTGAACCAGATGAAGTGCTTAAGGATTGACATTACAGTACAGGCTCTATTGCACAGACGCATCTTTACAGTATTTACAGATTCAGCAGGTTTTGGTTCAAATCGTCCACACAACTTCTTTGGAATTTCATAAACAAGAAAACCACGTTTCATTTAAGTTCATCTCAACACAAATTAGATCAAAGTATCACCTCAGTGATGTTGGTTAAAGTACAGAAACATTGTCAGGACGGACGTTTCAAACGTCCCTCTGAACTGTAAAATAAAGACGATTCATTCAGAGGAGCTCAGAATCATTTACACAGGAATACCAACTATTATATTGACTAGTGTGTCTATAATTACAGTACATACAGCGCAGTAGGTAGTTTCACACTTTATCACATTCTTCAATCAGAACAAGAGCTTATAAATGGTTGAAAATAAATGTTTGCTTCATTAATGAAAAGGTGACAGTTTTTTTCAGAGTCAAAGTTCAGTTTTTTTTAGTTTCGTCAGTTCAGGTCCAGCAGAAAGTTCATGTTTTCATATGTCACGTGACAAAAATGGACCTCAGTGCAAATTGTGCATCTGTAAACATCAAACAAGTCAGATTATTTCTTTTTATAGTTTCATCAGTTTTTGAATAAATAATGAGGAAGCATCAGGAATGTGTTGTAAACTGATTTTCAACCCAGAAAGCTTCCTGTGGTTCAGAAGAGGAGAAACAGGAGAGTTGCACCAATGAGGGTTAAACTTCTCTTTTCTAATATTACTACTACTTTCTTTTCTAATCAATGCTCTGTGCATTAGTCCACTCTGAAGCTAGCTTTGATTTAAACCAACAGCTCAGGTGACTTAAGTTTCACAAACAGCTGCATTTTCTGAGTTTATCAAGTGCTAACAAAAAATGAAAATAGCAGCTAATGCTATCAAGCTAGCATTGCTGACCAGCATGTCATCACAGCTAGTTAACTTTGTAGACAACAAAACTTTAACCCAGCTGAGTCAAAATAGTTGTTTTTGTTTGTTAGTTAATTCTTACAAAATCTGGCCCGTGATAGGGTGCCAGGTGGCTCTCCAACCATTTTCTAATTTACAATGAAAGTAAATTGGGAATTTTTTTGTAATTTTAGTGTAAATAAGGTACCAGAGTACATAAAAAGCATTAAAATAGAGCTTGTTTATCAAGAAAAAGTGCCAGGAGAGGATCCCCCTGGACCCCCCGACAGAGGTTCGGGTAAACCCAGAATGTCCTCAAATCCTGGAAACGCCCCTGCATACACCTAACCGCTGCAATTTTGCTACGACTGGCCCCTGGCCTCCTGTCACTTTGCAGAAGAGACCTCAGAGGAAAAGCAAGTTAAGTATCCCTGGACTCAAGAGTTCAGCGATGTCATTGGGTGCCTGGCAATGTGAGGCTTTAAAAGTCAGCAATCAAATTTTAAAACAAATTCTTAAACGGCAGAGACTAAAACTGAGGTAGCACTTCTACATTTCTGGTTCTGTTTGTTACACTGACATTGGTTTAAACCATGAAAAGTACCGTTAACCTCAGACCCACAGATATCATTTCAAATTGTGGCTCAAATTTAAAACTGGTTTTCTAAAATTAAGTTTCACTAAACTCTAACTGACCCTTCGCTAAGTCCTTCCCCTCGAACGCAGATTGGTGAATCATAACGTTGCACTGCCAACTCCAGCAAGGGTCCGACAACAACACAGCTGTGCTCCATTGACTGTCATGCAATCGTTAAGATTTCCTTCATTTTCAGGCTGGTTTTGTGGATTTGGAGCTAAATGTTGTGCCTGGGGCACGTCGTGTATTAATGATACTCGTTACCTGGAGAGGTTGGAAAAAGATATATGTTTCTTCCCTGTTCCAAAACCAAAATCAGACCCTGAAAAGTGTAGGGTTAGCTAGCTAGCTACTGAAGATAAAGCCTACTGAATGTATACACATGCTGGTTTTGCTTTTTAATGATTATAATGTTGACACAAAGACTGACGCTGCTGTACAGGAACCAGTGAAGGGAAGCAGGGAAACTTTGCTCATATTCAACCAGCTGTGTGTCATCACATTGTGTGAACATGAACAATGTTTGGCTTCCCCTGTAGCTCCCCACCTGTCCGATGGAGGTCCAGCGGCTGGCAGCATGGTTGGAAGCCAAACACCGTTCATCTGAATACACTGTGATGACGCACATCTGGTTTCCCTTTATTTTCATTGTATTCTGTTTCAATTGCCAGGTCATGTGGCGGTTCACTGCTACACTGTGATCTGTACGTTTGGCTCTAGCTTCTGTCTCTATCTTTTTTACCTGTTTTCAACGCTAAGTGAGTTGGACATCCTGGATATATTCTTCAAACACAGACTGTAGACCCCTCTGTTTGCTTATCTCTGAAATCACTTTTTCATTTTTCCAAAAATCTGATATTTCTTCAGGGAGTGCAGTTAGTTACAGCATGGGCTCCATGCTTACTCCAACAGCTTGATGGACCATCACAAGGGGCGGGGCTTAGCGAAGGGTCAGGTGAACCCTTTTCTCGGTTTAATAAAACCCTTGTTGGTGCAGCCCTCCATAAACACCAGAACGTGGTTTTAAATGAGTTTATCAGTGAGGTTATGATCTGATGGAGAAGCTTCACAGTAAATCACCACTCTAAAAGTCTCTGCAGCTACCCATCATGCTTGCTCCAGTGCCTTCTGTCATCAATCCCCATTGGACTCAATGACTTTCTCAGCCAGGATCTCCTGGAAGGTGGAGAGCTGCTTCATCTGCTCCGTCTGCATCGAGTGTCTCCTCATCAGCTTCTTCTTCATTTTGAAGTCGGGGCCCCGTTTAGGCGAGGCCGGGGCCACGGGGACCAGGATTTTGTGCCCAGAGTGAACGGGGGAGGTGGGCTTGCCATTGGTCCGGATGACCGGAATGGGTCTCTGGGGGTTGATGTTGAGCGGAGGCAGGAAGCCTGGCCTGGTGTGGGAGATGTGGTCCAGCAGGAGGGTCCCAGAGCCCCGGCGCTCCAAGAGCCCCGGGGGACGCCTGCGCATGGTGATGGGAGACACCGAGTTGGGGATGTTCTCCAGAGACTCCCTGGAGGAGCTGGCAACCAGGGAGAGGGGGGAGGCGTTGTACCTCCTCCGCTCCACAGACACCCTGCCAGAATCTGGAGATCCAGGAATGGAGTCTGGGCAGAGGTGGGTGTCTGACTCATAGTGCTCCATCCGGGTGAGTTTGGGGTGAGCCAGGGCCCGTGCTGCAACTGCCCCAGGTCCCCCGACGTTCTCCTGGGACTCCGGTGCCGTATTCCGACGGTAAAGGATCTGGTGCTGTTGGACTTTGTCAGCCCAGGAGGAACCAGACAGGGCTGCATAGTCCTCTGAGCAGGACCTGTCAATAAGTTTGGGGGAGCAGGGGTCGTGGGTCTCAATGCTGTGACGCCGTGACAAAAGAGGTCTCACCGGTTCTGTGATGGACAGGCCATTGATCTCAGTGATCGTCTTGCTCAGATCACAGCTGCCCTCCTCCTCTAGGCCTCCATCAACCCTCTCCTGAGGAACCCCGCTCAACACTGAGGGTGCTACCAGGCCCCAGGGCTCCGAGTTCAACCTTTTCAGCAGCTTGCGTGGCGGCGGTCTCTTTTCTCCTGGAGGTCGAGCTGAAGGTAAAGGTAAAGCAGAGGTGAGGGCAAAGCTAAAGATCCCTTCGCCGTCTTTGCTCTTGTCTCCTGCCGGCGAGGAGGTGCCAATCTCTACATCAGACGGAGACATGCAGGCTGGGGACAGCTTGTCCACAATGCCCGGTGAAGGGGGGGAGTTGAGGTACTGCTTGGTCTTCTTGGTGCCTGATGGAGACGTGTCAGTGGTGATGATGATCACTTCCTTGCCTTTGGCCTTGCAGGCATCCAGCAGCACCTGCAGAGTGTCGCGGTCTCCCTTGTTGATAGCGTGGACAAGGGCTGAGGAGCCAGAGTAGTCCTTGAGGCTGGGATCAGCTCCGTTCTCCAGCAGGAGTGAGACCACTTCCTTCCCTGCCTGCTCGGCGCAGGCGTGCATCAGCGCCGTCCTCCCACTCTTGTCGGGGATGTTCGGATCAGCACCTTTCTCCAGCAGGTACCTCACCATCCGCTGTCGTGTCTGTGGGTCATCGTAGCTCGCTAAGCAGGCAGCAGAGATGGGAGTCTCCCCACGCTCATTACCCTCGTTGATGTAAGCTCCACCCTCTAGCAGCAAGCGGGTAAGCCTCAGCTTCCCCTGGAAGACGGCTTTAAGGAGGGCATTCCCCTCAGTCTGTAGGGGTCCTCCATCTCCCATGATCCCTCTCCTCAACTTAGACCTCCTGTCTACTGGAAGCTAGCTCAACGCTGACAGCCCATCCTCCACAAGAAGTCACATGACCTGCAGGAGAAACACACATGAGGTAAGTGCACCTAGTGTAAAGGTCACCGCCATGTTAGCACACTGAGGAGGTGATAGTACATGACCAGTTGATATACTGAGACTCGAATTTTTGGAACATTTAAGCCTGGTTTCTACCAAACACTTTCAGGATGGTACCTTTGGAACCAAAAGTAACCCTTCAGTTATGGTACTTAGACCCTAGGTCCGCTTAGCGTTTCCACTGCAAACAGTACTCTTTCATGTGGGCGGGGTTGTTGTCACTCACTGCTCCGTCCAGCACTCACTGTATTTCCTCCTTTATCAATCTGCACCTCGTTTATCGTCCACAGAACGAGGCTGCACACCAACATTTTCAGAACAAAGTAAAACAGGCTGCAGTGAGAGTCTCTCTCCATGGGATATTTAAAAATAGCAGCTTTGTGCATTTAGTCCTTCTCAGGCAAGCTCAGGGGTTTAGTGTTGTCGGAGCCCACAGGATCATTCTGCGACACATTTTTTTTTTTTTTTCTCCAAGTGAGGAATGGGATATATACGGTTCACATAATCCAGTTGAAATTAATATATATTTGAAACACTTGAAGATCCACTCATTACTAAAAGTGTCTGTCATATAAAAACTAAAGTGATTTTCAAAGTTTCAATTAGTTGAAATTTAAGGTGTGCTGATGGATTCACGTCATCAACTCATGCATTGAGTAACATTACAAGTTAACGTTCCACCTTAAGTCGCCAGCAGTCGGCCCAGTGAATGAAGTTATTTTTTCTCAGACTCCAGCTGCTGTGAGAGGCAGCAAAACATCCTTTCATTTTATAGTTACAGTTTACTAATAAAACTCTCCACAGTATGAACAGTGGTTACATGAGCCTCAAAACCAGACACAACTCAGCCCTGAGCAGAGTGACCGTCCTCTACTGACCAATCAGACTGCAGTATTCACAGCTCCACCTTTTAGTACCACATCTGTGTGCTAGGTACCCCAACAGAGGGGGGACCAAACATGGGGATGGTACGGAACGGTTCTTTTGGTACCATCCATTTTTTTTTACAGTGGAAACGGAAAAAAAAGTGTAGAGAACTGAACTGAACTTAGTGGAAACAGGGCTTTAGGTTTGAACAGATTTGACTCAATAAATCAATGGAGACAATTATTTAAATCTGATCTCAGGTCAGCTGCTTTTTCTAGAAATCAAGTATCCAGCAGACATCAGTGTGTTTCCACCTGGTTTACCTGTGAACACCTGAGAACAGCATCAATAATGTCTGATTATAAGCTGATTTCTGCAAACAGGAAGAAGAAGGTGTCACTTCCTTACTGAGAGAAGAAAGCTACAACTTAATGTAGTTTTTCTCGCAGTCCTTCTTCTTCTTAACTCAAAAGCAGCAGGGAATGAAAACAAACAATACAATAATCAAAAAATATTAAATAATATAGAAAATATATTAATACAGTACAAAGTACAAATGTACTGAGCGTACTGAGCTCACACAGGTGTTATTACCTGCTGAATGACAGCAGAGAGACTCATTGTCTCATTGTTTGTATTTCAGTGTGAAAGTGACCATATGGACAGGCGCACACACACACACACACACACACACACACACTGTTAGACTTTGAACCTGTTGGATGTCTTTTTTTAGTGTGTCAGTTAAAAATCAACCTTAACAGGAAACTAAACACTCATCAAAGTTGACGAACCAACAGCTGATTAAACCAACGCCCTCACACCAGAAACACCGTGTGTGCGTGTTGGGGAGTAACTAGTTACATGTTACGTAGTTAAATACAAATAATTGAAATCTGGTACAGTTAGTAAGAAAAAAATATGTAATTAAATTACAGTTACTAATCAAATTGTTGGTGTTTACACAGGGGTTACAAAGGTCATTTGTAAAATATAACATTATATGTTTGTCACAATAAGAGGGTTCCTGGTTTGAATCCAGGGTGGAGGAGCTCTACTATGTGGAGTTTGCATGTTCTCCTTGTGTCAGCGTGGGTTTCCTCCAGGTTCTCCAACTTCCTCCCACAGTCTAAAGACATGCAGGTTAATTGGTGAATTGGTAAATTGTCCGTAGGTGTGAATGTGAGTGTGAATGGTTGTCTGTCTCTATGTGTCAGCCCTGTGATAGTCTGGTGACCTGTCCAGGGTGAACCCTGCCTCTCACCCAGTGTCAGCTGGGATAGGCTCCAGCCTCCCCCGCGACCCCTCACAGGATAAGCGATTACAGAAAATGAATGAATGAATAAATATTCTTCATTATATTGGAGAACTTTTAGTAAAAGTTTAACAGTAATCAGTGCTGAGTACTGTGAGGTTTATTACATGTCTAGAGTACCCTTTACAACAGTGGAGTATATATACATATATACACTCACTTGCCACTTTATTAGGTACACCTGTTCAGCTGCTCCTTTACACAAATAATTAATCAGCCAATCTTGTGGTAGCAACTCAATGTATTTAGTTAAGTAGACATGGTGAAGACAACCTGCTGAAGTTCAAACAGTGACTTAAAAGCCCTTTTTAGATAGGAATTGTGCAAATTTGCAGGAAAGCCCAATCAGTCTTTTTTCAGCATTGGCAGTATAAAATCAAAATCGGGGAGTGCGGCAAAATGCCGCCTACCTACTTTTGTTTATACAGAATGCGCCTTTTTTGGGGCAATGGGGGCGTGAGCAAGTAACAAAATGTGTAGCTCAGCGTGGCTGGTCAGTCCTTCGGCGATTCTCTCGTAAGTCCCCGTCATCTGACGGTTAATGGCCTCTTCATTTGTGAGGGCAAGGAGGTCAATTCCTTGTCTCCCTAGTTGCTCATCTTTACAGTGTCTGTCAGGTTTGTGTTTCCCTCTTGCTACTAGCTGCTTGCTAATTCCTGCTATCAGCTGTTTCCTGTTTATCCACCGCCAGTGGGTCGCACATGCGGCGTCATCAACAGCTCCTCCCACAAGTCTTCAACAGCCCCTCCCATTGCGGAAGGCCGCCTCGGTCTGTTTAAACTAAAAGGGCTCCGCCAATATGACTACCCTACGAGGCGGAAAATTGGGCACCTCGGATCCACTCGCCAATCCGGCTCTGTGTGTCTAAACGCTTGCAGCTTGCCGGCAAAACAGCCCAACATTCGCGGAAAATCTGGCAGCGTAAAGGGGCTAAAGTGACTTTGAACATGGCATGGTTGTTGGCGCCAGACGGGCTGGTCTGAGTATTTACTGGGATTTTCACACACAACCATCTCTAGGGTTTACAGAGGATGGTCCCAAAAAGAGAAAATATCCAGTGAGCCAAAATGCCTTGTTGATGCCAGAGGTCAGAGGAGAATGGCCAGACTGGTTCAAGATGATAGAAAGGCAACAGGAAGTCAAATAAGCACTGGTTCCAACCAAGGTGTGCAGAAGAGCATCTCTGAAGCAACAACACCTTGTCCAACCTTGAAGCAGATGGGCTACAGCAGCAGAAGACCACACCAGGTGCCACTCCTGTCAGCTAACAACAGGAAACTGAGGCTACAATTCACACGGGTTTTCTCACCAAAACAGGACAATAGAAGATTGGAAAAACCACATTCAGATGGAAGCATGGATCCATCCTGCCTTGTATCAACGCTTCAGGCTGCTGCTGGTGGTGTAATGGTGTGGGGGAGATTTTCTTAGTACCAACTGAGCATGGTTTAAACACCACAGCCTACCTGAGTATTGTTGCTGATCGTGTCCATCCCTTTATGACCACAGTGTACCCATCTTCTGATGGCTACTTCCAGCAGGATAACGCACCATGTCACAAAGCTCTCATCATCTCAAACATGACAATGAGTTCACTGTACTCCAATGGCCTCCACAGTGACCAGATCTCAGTCCAATAGAGCACCTTTGGGATGTGCAGGAATAGGAGATTCTCATCATGGATGTGCAGCCGACAAATCTGCAGCAACTGTGTGATGTCATCATGTCAATATGGACTAAAATCTCTGAGGAATGTTTCCAGCACCTTGTTGAATCTGTGACACCAAGAATTAAAAAGGGGGTCCAACCCAGTACTAGTAAGGTGTACCTAATAAAGTGGCTGGTGAGTGTACAATGACGTCTAATTCAACTCCATTACTGACCGACATCAGCAATAGAGTTATATTAACTTTATAAAAAAAGAAAAACAGGTGGCAAATTAGGATGATGCAGGTGTTCCTAATAAAGTGACCAGTTACTGTGTGTATCGAGATGATAAATGTAAGGAGTAGGAGTACTTTTGTTTTGGATATGTTCAGTACATTTTGTTTCATTCTGAATGGAGTACATTTACTGAGGGATACTTCAGGAAACATCAGAAAGTTATCATTTAACTGCAGTTAATAATATTATCAGATCAAACGGTGGTCACCTGCAGCAGGTCACGTGTCTCTGCTGTCACACAGGTGGAGCCTGTAGTAACATGATGATGATGGTGATGATGATGAAGCTGTCTGACTATGGAGGAATGCGTTTACCGGGTTTCTACGTCAGTCCGCCGCTCTGACGCAGTGATTTCTATATTTACACACCGGTTGCGAAGTTAACGGCAGCGGCGTGCGTGTGTGCGTGCGTGCATGTGGTCGCGCGCTTGCGTTCATGCGCACACACACACACACACACACACACACACACACACACACACACACAGGATTAGATGGTGTGTTTTTGCTGCATCATCATCATCATCATCATCATCATCATCAAACCGTCACATCTGGTGACTACACAGCGTTTTATCTCGTTGTTAAAATCACCGTAAACCGACGCGTGCGCGCGCACACACACAGATACATACACACACACACACCACAGGAGCAGCCGTTAAAATCCGCTCCAGCTGGTGAAGATGAGGATGAAGATGGAGGGCTGATGAAGAAACAGGAAGACATGCGGAGCTTTTTTTCTTTTCTTACCGCCGAGCTGAAGCAGCAGCATCATCATCATCTTCATCACCTCACCGACGGTTACTGTCCGTTAATGTCGGTTGCCGACTGTTTACTGACTGACAGAGCCGCTGCACCGACACTCCTCCTCCTCCTCCTCCTCCTCCTCCTCTTCCTCCTCAGAGTCTGAGCTGATAGAGCCGCTCCGAGCAGATCGACGGCCCAACTAAGGAGCCCCCACCCACCTCCACCCATTAACCCTCAGGCTGCAGAAAGGCTACATAAAGATACAATAAAGATAAATAAAATCAGATTTAAATATATAAATATATTTTTTGTTTTGTGATACAGTGAGATAGGCCTATTTATAACTCATATATATTTAATATCTCTGTAAGTTTTTGTACAGAAACACCTGCAGCTCTGCTCTGAACTCACCTGTACACCTTTACATATTAATAACAATAATAAATAATAGGTTTGAACAAAATGCATTCTTCTGTTCACTGCCCCCAAAAAATGTTGTTGAAAAATTGTTATTCTGACAGATTAGGACACTGAGGACGATCCAACGTAACTTTAACTCACAGCCGTCCAATACACCCTTTTAGGGCCGACGTAATGATGACGTTTAGCTGAAGGCAAAACCTGCCTCTCCCCCACAGGGCTGTAGGCTACACAGGAGTCTTAAAATGTGTTTGTCTTGTTGTGTTATTGGGAGCCAGAATAGAAGGAGTCATGGCTCAAAACCAGCCGCCACTGCCCGTCAACAAAAACAAAGATGGTTAAATGTGATAAGACCAAAGGACTGGACGGAGGCCATCATCAAAAATGCTCTCAGTGCACACTTCATATCAGGTTAGGGAAAAAGTATTTCCTGTTATAACGTTATGTGTATTAAGGGTTATCATGTCCACCTCATCAGAAACTGGGGAGGGATTAAGAGGAATATTGGATTTCTCCATAATGCTAACATTTTCGCACATTAGCTAATGTTAGCTTCGATCAAAACAAACTAGCGGAAACTGTCCGTGTTGTCCTCATTTGTAACATTGGCTTCCTGTGACATCATCCATCCACTGAGTGAGAGCATACAGGTCGGCCAGTCTGGTCCCGTTGGTCAGTGTTTACTGTTTAGTGTTTACCGATAACCCAACGGTACATTCAGACAGCGCTCCCAATTGATCAACGGTCCAGTTTGTAACTCAGAATATGTATTTCTGAATAAACCACTCACATAATCTTCCTCCATTGTCTAAAACAACCTAACAGAATCTGCTAGCTAGCACTGGCTGATGTTTGTGGAGAATTGTTTTGCCTCCAGCTAAGCCCCGCCCACCAATAAAACATCAAACTGTTTACTAACAGTTAGTCTCTATATACAGACTAAACCCCGGAGATCTTGCCTCCGGAAGAAGAGTGGAAGAGCCCTGGTTTCCAGTTGTAGGCTGTTTATAGTCTGCGTGATATTGACTAATCACATTTGAGCCGGCTGCAGTTGTTGCCAGGTTAAACGCTCCGTGTGGTGAACTAACGAGGTGGAACATAACTGGCGTCACTGCAAACTCTGAATCCAACGCAATGGTTCAGCATATTTACTTATATAGAAACGGAAGTCGGAAACAAACCGGAATGCCAAAAAATCGGGGGTCTGCCCCCAGAGGCTGTATCGCCGTCTGCCGGAAGTCAGACGCCGAATACAGACAATGGGTTCAGAGAATGACTGACAGTAAAAGCATTCTAGACGTCCCTCTCCCCAGCAACACTTTCCAGCTCCTCCTGGAGGACCCCAAGGTGTTCCCAGGCCAGATGAGATATATAATCCCTCCAGTGTGTTCTGGGTCTGCCCTGGGGCCTCCTACCAGTGGGATGTGCCCAGAACACCTCTAACAGGAGTTGCCTAGGGAGGATACTGATCAGATGCCCGGACCACCTCAACTGACCCGTTTTGACGTGAAGCATCAGCGGTTCTACTCCGAGCTCCCTCCAGATGTCCGAGCTCCTTACCCTATCTTTACGACTGAGCACAGGCACCCCACAGAGGAAACTGATTTCGGCCACTTGTATCTGTCACCTCATTCTTTCGGTCACTACCCAGAGCTCATGACCATAGGTGAGGGTTGGGACGTAGATGGACCAGTAAATCAAAAGCTTAACCTTCCAGCTCAGCTCTCTTGTCACCACAGCAGTCCAGCACAGCACCCGCATCATGGCAGACGCTGCACCAAAATCCTGTGGCGTGTGCACGTTAATAAGTTATTGTCTGGTACTGTCTTTGATCTTATGTACATGACCTTGTTGTCTAGCTGGCTATAGCCAAAGAGGTTACTTTGTGTTACCTCTTTGCTTTAGCCTTAGCGTTGGCTATACAATCCAACCAGGATTTCGCAGGCTGGTTTTGTTTGGTATTACTATGGCATGAAATTCCTGATTTCACGGCAGCTTTTCCAAAAAAATAAATCTTTTATGAAATTGCAGGAGCAAGTGAAAATTGCAAAAAATAGCTGTGATGCTGTCTCTGATTCGGGGTGTATTATTACAAGCATTCAGTGTCTCCCATAGAATTGATGCCATTTGATGCAGCGCTGAAGGTCCACTCTCCTCCAGCTCTCATTGTACAGTTAGCACGAGCTGACACATCACAACATAATCTCATCCCAACTCGTTGTATTTTTCCACTTGGTCAGAATCCCTGCAGTAGGAGTTAACATCCAACACCGAGATGTCAATCACACACCGACACTGAAACAGCGCGACACGTTAATAACTGGTTGACATGGTCACAGAGCTCTGGTCCTGCAGCAGCAAAACAGAAAGAGAGGGGCTGTGCAAACCAATTTCCTGTACGCAGCTCTACAATAATCTGAGATTTTACCCGTTTTAAATTTCGGTTAAGTTGAGGTGACTAGACAAAATTGCAAGGTTGCGCAGAATTCACAGGGATTGGCTGAATTTGCATGAACACCCTGGAGGGACTGGCTACATCCCTACATGCCACTAGAAATGTCACAGCAGTGTGTTTCTATAAAAAGCCCAAATATTATGATGCCACTGTTAAACAGGTGAAATCAGGAGGGCTAGTCAGTTCAACGTCTGCCCAGTAGCACAAGCTAACACAGCAGCAGCAGCTAACACCCAACACCAACCTATTAACAAACTCACACCAACACCAAAAAGGCTTCACTCTGTCATTTCATCCACTAATAGCCGTTAGGTAATGTTAGCCTTGTGTTGCAGAGCGAGAGCAGGATGAAGATGGGTCGAACCAATCAATACGCTGCACGCAGCTTTACAATGAAGTGAGATTTTACCCATTTTAAAAATTAGAAAATTAAAGAGCAACATCTCCATGACTGAAGTGTTGAACATTCACTGTTAATTACTAATGTTAATGCTACAGAGCCCAAACTATGGAACAAAGAGGGACTGATGAGATGAAGGACGAGCAGGTAACACTGATAACGTTTATCAGCCAGCAACAGCTAAAATTAAAATGACTGGTAATAACAGAGTGTGACGGAATTTTAATGACCCTGTCCGTCAAAATGACTTCTAACACAACCTCTGCTGATACTGTAACTACTTCAGTAATAAAAACAGAGCAGACAGACAGACAGACAGAAGGCTGTGTGTCTGTCTGTCCATATTTACTGTCTATATGTATATTTACACGTATCAATTAATTATCAATGCAATCAGTCTGATGACTCATTTATTATTAATTTTAATATTACAATTATTAATATTATTATTATTAGTAGTAGAAGTGTTGATGACAAAAATAAAATACTGCAGGACACACACACACACACACACTCTCACACACACAGACTGTTGCTATTATGGAAACACAGTTTCTATGGCAACTGATGTGCTGGATTCCTGCAGAAGCGTTCCCACGGCGACACACAGCTCTTTACCACACACACACACACACACACACACACACACTCTAACAGAATGATGGAGGTTTTGCTGACGTAGCAGAAACTGTTTGACCTCAGCCTGGACTGCAGTATTAATGCTACTGCTAACAGTCGTGGTTCAACAGTAGTAATATAAGCAGAGATATAGAATATATATGTAGAACCTCACTGCAGCAGCAGCACAGAAGATGAAAGAACCACAAAGAAAAAAACAGAAACAAACACAAGTAACATGCAAAAAGTTTAATTAATGCTCCACTGTTTGTATCTAAAATCTAAAGTACACCAGCAGAGAGCAGCATCACACCTGGCAGAATAAATACAGCCTGCTGGAAATCTGTTAGAAGAAGAGGAATGATTTCTAACCAGCTGGTCATCATCAACATGAGATCAGTTTCTACTTAATTTTCTCTCACTAAGTCTTAGTGCAACAAACATTTAAAATGAATCCAAACAACTGTCACTCAAACGCACATGCATATTAATGTTTCTAAATAGATACAAATACATTATTGTTTCTGCACCGACAAAATAAACCAACAAGATCCAGTTCAGTTTGTCAATCAGCTGATAATTTAATCTCAGTGTTATAGTTCTGATCAGAAACCACCAGGTGGCGCCACACACAAGTTATCCTACTATATCATGACGAAAACTGTCTGTGGGCGTGTCTGTGTGTCTGTTCCACGTTTTTCTCCTCACTGACTTGGTCAATCCATGTGAAATTTGGCACAGTGGTAGAGGGTCATGGGAGGATGTGAATGAAGCAATATTACATCAATTGGCCAAAGGGGGGCGCTATAGCAACCGATTGAAATTGCAAACTTTGAATGGGCATATCTCATGCCCCGTATGTCGTAGAGACATGATACTTTGCACAGAGATGCCTCTCCTCATGAGGAACACATTTGCCTCAAGAACCCATAACTTCCGCTTATATAGATTTTCCGCCATTTTGAATTTTTTGAAAAACACTTCAAATGGATCTCTTCCTAGGAAGTTTGAGCGATCTGCATGAAACTGGGTGAACATAATCTAGGGACCAATATCTAAAGTTCCCTCTTGGCAAAAGTTGGAAAACTTACTAAAACTGAGCTTCTATAAGGCAATGAATATTGCGGAGGGCGTGGCTCATCACATAAAGGTGTATAACATCTCAAGGGTTTCACCCATCACCACGCAACTTTGTAGGCATATGACCACACATAATCTGAGGGGACCCCTCCATTATTGACCCC